TTAAAAAATAAAAATTAATTTTTAATTTATTAATTATTTAATTAAACTCATTCACTTAATGACAGTTTTATAATTTTTTATATATATTTATGCCCACAAAGTGCCCTTAACATGTATTATGAAGACATAAGATAACAAAAACTTATTTCTTTAAGTTAAGCACGTAATGTTTATCAAATAATACTATGTATTATATGAGGATACACATATAATTGATAGATATTATATCATTATCTTAAAATTCAATAACATGATCTATATAAATAAAAAAATAAATTTGATCATTGGTATGTTAAAATAAAAATTCTAGGACAAATAATGTTGTTTTAATTTATTTCAAAAGAGTTAGAGTAAAACTACCTAATTTTAATATGTTTTTCTTAAATTTTAAAATGATTAGTGATTATCTATTTTATCTCTGAAGAATTAAGAATAAAATTATTTTAAAATTATGTCACTTTAATAAAGCATTATAGGAAAGTACAAAAAACATCTTAATTTATACTTTACAAATACGATATTTTAATTTTTTTCAATAAATATTTATTAAAATAATATAATTTTAAAATAATATTTTTTATAATCTTTAAAAAATAAAGCAGATAAGCATTATTCTCAATTTTTAAAGGTCCAATTTATAAACATTTTTCTCGTATTTCTCATACCACATGCTCACCTTGGGTGCCAGATTTTGCCAACAAAATTTTCTAATTCTTCCACGTCTTTCATGGAACAAAAATGGTTTCATCGGAATCTCTTACGTTGGAACCACCACCTCGGGGGTGGTGTTGTGGCTGAAGCTTAATGTTGATGGGGGATTGTTTCGAGATAAGGAGTACTCATAAGTGGGGGCGGTGTTAAGGGATGAGGAAGGTCAAGTGTTGGGGGTAATTGTGCATAGATTTAGATCTCTATATGAGCCTATCGTTGTGTAGGCGTTAGTGGTGAAGAGGACCTTGGAGGGCAGTGGATTTGTTTTTTAGAAGGGCGATAGTTGTAATTGCACCAAATCAGAAATCCTTTTTCAATCCGCTTTTGCATTCTGGATTGACCTGCAAAGCCCCGAGATGAAACTCGGGGTAAACACTCCGATACTTAAGTCAGCAATAATCGGGGCTATCTTTAGAGTGGAGATAAAATGAGATTAGGGTCTGTTTCCATTACCTTTTTGACGTGGCCCTTGGGGGTATTTATAGGTTTCAGTGAGGAACCCACGTAGCATGCCAAGCAAGATAATCGGAGTCTGACGTGTCTCTCCAGACGGTTATTTCGGAACCAAGAAATTGAGAGATATTCAGATGCAAGGATATCCATCGTAACTGCTGTGCAGCTTATCATAAGAAATTAGGTGTGAGTATGCTTATTGTCGCTGTCATGCAGCTGTTTGAACAGGAAGTTTTGAATTTATTCTTCACTTCTGTTATAAAAGAATTACCGTCATACATCCGAAGTTGGGCACCTCGGACCTATCCTTACACTATTCCCCCCGTAAGTCATTCACTTGTGAATGATGTTGTTAGAGATAATGAGAGTAGTACATACATAGAAAGAAAGCGAGACAAAAATATTAAAGATGAGTTACAGAAGTAAAAAAAAATAAAAAAATAAAAATCAGTAACTCAAATGCATGTATGGCCGTAGCTAATAGTGAAGATGTGACAGCCATGCCCAAAAGAAAATGTGACCAGAGCGATTGTGGCCGTAGCCATGGTAAAAATAATGACCGGAGTCAACATGGCTGGAACCATAGTAAGAAATGATGACCCGAGTCATGGTGGCTAGAGCCGTAATAAAAGGTAATGACCGAAGTCATAGTGGCCGGAGCCGTAGTAAAATACGTGACAAGGAGTCACAATGGTCGGAGCTGAGGCGAAATATGTAACACTAGGTCACTATGGCCGGAGTCGAAGTAAATCATGTGACACTAAGTCACTGTGGGCCGGAGCCGAAGTAAAACATGTGACACTAGGTCACTGTGGGCGGGGCCGAAGTGAAACTTGTGACATTGGGTCACTGTGGCTGGAGCCGAAGTAAAACATGAAACACTGGGTCATTGTGGTCGGAGCCAAAGTGAAACTTGTGACACTAGGTCACTATGGTCGGAGCAGAAGAGACAAGTATGACCGGAGTTGAAGAGACAGTATGACCGGAGTTATCAGGTCGATTGTCGAAATAAAACACTTGCAAAATTTAAGAATGTGTAAAAATGGTCAGGAGTGTTGAAATGGGCTTAAGTGGGCCCGTTTGAGAAGTCTGACAAAGAGTCAGTACGTGATATGACAGCTGCCCTCTGAAAGACGTGCGTAATAAATGCGGCTGTAAAAATATAACCGCAACAGTTAAACATGCAAACTTAAAAAATGAACCGTCGAGTTCGAAACGGTGCCATTTGGGGTTAACTGTCGAATTCGAAACGGTGTTTTTGTAGCCGTTAGATGGAATTAATCACAGCCGTTGAGGCGTATTTTTCCTTTAGTATAAAAGGCAATACTTTTGTAAAAAAGGGTTTTGCTTTCACTATTTCGCTACCAAATTGCTGCTAAACTTCTACGGTTTTGTGCGGTCTGTGCTTCATTTAAGACTTCAACACCAATTTCACAAGACCAAAATCAGGTAATGTTTATGAATCTCTGAATTTGATTTTAACGAAGTGTCATTCTCCTTTCTCCCTTTCTATTTTTGATTTTGAGTTCTTTAAAGGAAGTTAGGGTTGGGAGTGAGAATGACATTGAGTGTGTGTTAGCGTTTTTTAAGAGTCCTAACTTCATTCCTCCTCCTCCTTCATGCAGAAATTGAGGAGATGTCTTCAGAAGGAATAATGAGTGTGGTAGGAAGTGAGGTGATGCCCTTGGAGTATGGTGGCATGGACTCAGAGAGTAGTCTGTCTCCATTTAGTTCGGAGAGGACAATGGAGGAAAGGAGAGAGCAAGGGGTAGGGGAAAAAGAGGAAGAAGAAATTCCCTCAAATATTATGGAGGTTAAGGGTAATGGAGATAGGTGTTATGACCCAGAGTTAGACATAGTGTTTGAGGTGAGGGGGTATGTGAGTGAATTGGGTAGCAGGGGTAGCCTTAGGGGTCTCGTAGGTAACTGTAACCTTCATCACCACATTTTAATTAGGCCTGCCGGGGTGAATGAGAGAGCATGCTCAGCACCCCGAGATCACTGGATGCTCGTGTATGTCCATTATTTGGCAACAGGGCTTAGGTTTCCACTTCTAGAATTATTGGTTGGGTTATTATTAGATTATAATATAGGAATAACCCGATTAACCCTAAATGCCATAAGAATAATAATAGGTTTTATAGTATATTGCCGAGCCCGGGGTGTTGGGGTCCCCACTGTGAGTATGTTCAAACATTTTTTCATAATAAAGTCTAGGGGTAAAAGTGAGAAGGGGTGGTATTACTTTGGACCTCGGACGTCCAACAAAGAGAATAAGAGCTTATTTACTGCTGGACCGTCATCCATTAAAGGATGGAAAGAAAAATTCTTCTTTGTAGATGACACCGAGTGGAGTAGGAGGGATGCCGAAGTGGAACACCTGTCTGCTTGGAAAGCTAAGAAAACCAAGCAAAACAATTATAAGTTAAATGAGGATGAGGTGGAAGAGGTTGAGAAGTTGGTGAGGGAAGAGGGGGACTTAGTGGATATTATGTACCTCACCAGCTCGAAGGCGATAAAGGCTGCCGAGCTCTATGGGCCAAGCTCATTGAGCGAAGGTTTGTTGATTTTTGTTTTTTGCAATTTATTTGAGATTTCAGTCAATGTGTTTTAACACTTGTGCTTGTTTTGCAGCTGAGATAGAGGGTTTTCTAAACGCTGTTGAGGGGCTAGCTATCCCAAAGAAGCCAAGGAAGAAGTCAAAGACTTCAAATGTGGCAGATAAGGGCGCAGTAGAGAAGGAATGCCTGTCCAGCACTTCTGCTTGAGCTCTGGAGATGCAGCAAAGGCCAAAGCCTATGAGGAGCAGTGACGATGTGAGTGAAGAGGTGGCACCTTTTTAGAGGAAGAAAAGGAAGGCGGTAGAGTCAGAACCTAGGGGGGATGAGGTGGTTGAGTTCGTACCTCGGCCTTCTCTTGCTGAGGTTGACACTGAAGTTAGGGTGAGGAAAGAGGCCGAGGTGCGAGGCCCTGGCAAAGGCAAGGAACTCATCCCTCCTCTTTCATCCCAGAAGACTTGTTCGATGCAACCAACATCATTGGGGCGAAACGGTTCCTAAATGCCACTCTTCCAGAGGTGGATAGGAGGCAAGCGAGAGACGAGGCGGTGAGCCAACTAGGGGCTCGCGTTGTGAGGCATTCCCTGGAGGTATGTAAGGAAATTACAGTTTATTCATATTTTATTTTTGATTTTTTGGCTTTTGCGTTTGAGTTCTGACTTCTGCTTGCATTGTAGAGTGCAAGCTGGGTAAACGCTCTGGCGTAGGAGTATGCGGAAAGCGTGAAAGACCGTGCCAGCTTGTAGAGGCAGTGTGAGGAGAGGCAGTGTGAGGAATTGCAGAGGGAGAGGGAGGAGCTATTGAAGAAGAACAAAGAAATGCAGAGGAAATTAGATGAAGTTGTGCCAACAGTAACCGAGCTCCAGAACGATAAAGATACCTTGAGCACAAGACTTGTCTTTGAAGAACGTAAGAGGAAGATCTGTGAAGACAAGCTTGAGGCTCAAGACAAATACATTGAAAATATGAACAAAGGAATGGGGGAGCTGAAGAAGAACGTGAATCTGCTGGTTTACAACGGAATGGAGGAGCATATTGGCAACTTCCTCAACTCCAGCACCTTTGAGAGCATCATCAACCTCTACTGGCTGCAGACTGCAATTTTGGCATTCACCGACTATAGAAAGAAGGTGAAGGCTCAATATCCGGAAGTGGATGTCACGACGGTTACTTTCGGTGATCAGGAAGAAGGGGTGGAGGAGGACGATGAGAGTCTCTCTGTTGACTTCCGACCTCTAATCAAGCTGAGATGGGAGCGTGATGCAGAGGGACGCACTATCTTTCCTCCATCCTTTGATGCTGAGCTTGTGGCCGTAGAGGAAGAGGAAGAAGTGTAAGATGCTGGAGTGGAGAACCAGGCAGATCTAACCGAAGTCCAACTTCTTGCAGTTCATCCAGTTTCCTCTGGCGAAGGGTTAATTCCGAGCTAAGTGCTGCACAAGGTCGAGCTAGATTCCGCCTCCGAGACAAGTGCCATCGGAGCTAGTCTCACCCCGTGACAAGGTGGTATCCAAGCCAGCTCGAAGCTGTATCAGAGCAAGGTTCGAACCTGCATCGAGCAAGGTTTGAACCTGCATCAGAGCGCGGTTCAAAGCCTACTGCAGACGTGGTTCGAGCATGTCTAGAGCCTAGTTACGAGTGGGAAATTGTAGCCATGGCAAGCAAAGGCATTGAGGCAAGCGACATTCTGGAGGAGGAGTTGGCTTGAGAGAGTGGGCTGCTAGGTGAGTGAGTGCAGAGAGGGACTTTGTACTCATGCTCTTGTACACTCCTTTGCGATCTTAATAAATTCTCTTCTTCTCCCAACTTCCTACCTTCGTGTTTATGTTGCTAACCTCGAGCCCAGTTAGAGGGCCACGCCAAGTGTTGGGGAAGGCTGACTTGGTTCGGGTTTATGGGATTAATTCCAAGCTAAGTGCCACACGAGATCGAGCTAGATTCCACCTCCGATACAAGTGCCATCGGAGCTAGTCTCACCCCATGACAAGCTAGCTCCTTCTGAAGCAGAGGTGCCACCTCTGCCTGCTGGAGACGAGCCACCTCAACCACCTCTTCCTATTGAGGAGCAACCTCCTTCCTCAGCAGAATAATTTAGGATTATCTATTTTTTAGTCATATTTGTAATGAACATTTTTGTAGTTGATTTTTTACTAATTTATAAAATTTTTGAAGTTATTTTTCATGTGTATTTTTGATGTTTGTTTGATGTTTTGTTTCAAGTATATCACTTTGAATAAAATAAGGTGACCTTAATTAATGCACGGAACTGACCTCGGACACAATAAAATGGACAGCCAAGGAATTGACTTTGGATATACATGAGGCGGACCTCAAATGAAAGGAGATGAAGTAAATCACTCCAAAAGTAAAATGTAATTGAAAAATCATAACCCAGAAAGTGAAGTGACTAAATAAGTCATAATGAATTAACTTTAGGAATAAGTAAAATTCACTTCCAAAGTACAAAAGAGTAGAAAGAACTGAACCACTTCGAATGTGAAGTGAAATTCATTAATGAGATAAATGAATTGAGCTCGTATATACATTGAGTAGAAAGAGAGAGAATAATGACGATTATAAAAATAAGATAAAGTTCACTTGAAAGAAGTGTATTCAGGGTAAAATTTCTTCAAGTTATTGACATTCCAAACTCTAGGAACCCTTTTGCCTTCAGTGTCTCGTAGGATATAAGCACCTGGGTGCAACACTTCGGCTACAGTGTAGGGGCTTTCCTAGTTTGGTGCTAACTTTCCGAATCGAGTTTCGAACCCCGTTAAACCAGCTTTCCTGAGAACAAGGTCTCCTACTTTAAATGTTTGGGGTAGAACTCGTTTGTTGTAGAAGTTGGCTATTTTCTACTTGTAAACTAGAGTTCGAAGTTGTGCTTCTTCTTTGACTTCGTCAAGCAGATCAAGGTTCTCATGAAGCAGTTGTCCATTTCGTCCTTCATCGAAATGGGTGACCCTGAAGCTTGGGACTCCTATCTCGATAGGAATGACTGCTTCGGTGCCAAAGGTCAGTGAGTGTTTCACCTATTTCAGTTAATTATAATTTTAGAATGCGCTTTACGCGTTATGCATATTTGATCTAAGGTAAAATTGTAGAAGAAGAAGTAAGATAATATGAAAGTTAATCAAGGAAATCAGGTTTGAAGTAATACCTGTGGCAGTTCAGCTCGTGGTTTTGTATGGCCAGAGGACGTTGTTGAGCTCGTCTGCCCACCTGGCCTTATGTAGCTCTAACCTTGGTTTTATCCCCTCGAGTATAACCTTGTTGACAGATGCTACCATTCCATTAGACTCTAGGTGGTACACCGAGATGAATTGCAACTTGATCCCATAACTGGAGCAGAAATCTCTGAATGAGGAGCAATTGAATTGAGTTCCATTATCAGCCACAATCTGGTTCGGGATTCCATATCTGCAGATGATTGAGCTGAAAACGAAGTCTTCGAGCTTTTTGGAGGTGAAACTGGATAATGGCCGAGCTTCAACCCATTTCGTAAAATAATCCACACCAACAATCAGATGGGTTACACCTCCTATCCCTTTCATAAATGGGCCCAAAAGATCAAGTCCCCATTGAGCAAATGGCCACAGTGCTACCAAGTTCGTGAGCTCCTCTACTAGCTGGTGAGTCAAATGTGCAAAAAATTGGCACTTCGGGCATCTCTGAACAAAGTGAGTGGCATCTTTATACATGTTTGGCCAGTAATATCCCTGTCTTAAGACTTTGTAAGCCAGAGTTCTAGCACCAACATGGCTCCCACAAACACTTTCATGTCCCTCCCAAAGTGCATACTCCGCTTCATAAGGATTCAAGCATCGTAGAAGAGAGAGTGAGAAAGATCTCTTATAGAGGACCCCATCAACAAGTGTATACCGAGATGCTTTCTTCCTCAACCTCATTGCCTCTTGCTTGTCTTCAAGTACTGTCCTGTTTCATAAAAAGGAGGTAATTGGGTCAGTCCAGCTTGGTGTGTTTGGGTCTGTGCTGATCTCCATCATTCGTGGCTTCATGAAGCTTGGTTCATCTAAGACTTTCACAAAAACTGATCTGGAGCTTAAAGAACTATCAGAGGCAAACTTAGAGAGTGAATCTGCCTGTTCTTTCTTAGTTCGGGGAATTTTGTTCAGATAGAATTTCTGAAATTTGCACCTTAGCTCGGCCACCAGGGTTACATATTTCACCATCACAGAATCAATGACTTCGCAGATTGAGTTGACTTGATAAACCACAAGCTGGGAGTCACTGTACACTTGGATCGCCTTGACTTTCAACTCCAATGCTAGTTGTAGGCCAAGTAGCAAAGCTTCATACTCGGCCATATTTTTTATTGCATCAAAGTTGAATTTCAGAGCATGTTCACTCCAGTATCCATTTAGGCCAATTAAAAGAGCACCAGCTCCTGAACCCTTGCTACTAGATGCTCCATCAACATACCATGTTCAATCATTGGACTCGAGATTAGAGGTTGAGTGATATGGAGTAGCACTCCGGCTTTTGCAGAATCTGTCAAAGAGGTTGGTCTGTGAGAACGATGATTAGGTGTGATTGGAAATATGGCCTCAACTTCCTAGCCGAAGTGACAACTGCTAATGCTGCTTTCTCAACAATAGGATACCTCAGTTTTGCGCCATCCAGCACACTGCTGATATAATAGATTGGTTTCTATTGTTTGGCTTCTTCTCTCACCAGAACTGAACTAATGGCTTTGTCTAAAATTCCCAAATATAAATAGAGAATCTCTCCATCTATAGCCTTAGTCAATAAAGGTGGTGAGCTAAGATAAGACTTCAGCTCTTCGAATGCGGCTTGGCATTCCTAGTTCCATTCAAACTTCTTTTGTTTGCCTGATTTGTCTTTCTGGGCGGCTGACCTCATGATCTTGAAAAATGACAAGCACTTATTTGTTGACTTCGATATGAACCTATGAAGAGCTGCCACCCTTCCAGTTAACCTCTGTATATCTTTAACTAACTTCAGCGGTTCCATCTCGGCAATTACTTTGATCTTTTCTGGATTGACCTCAATCCTTGTTTGGGAAACCATGAAGCCTAGAAATTTCCCAGACTCCACGCCGAAGATGCATTTTGCTGGATTCAACCTCATTCTGTTCTTTTTGAGATTGTTGAATGTCTCCTTAAGGTCAGTTAAATGATCTTTAGCTTTCAAGCTCTTTACCACGATATCATCAACATAGACTTCCAGATTCCGGCCTATTTGAGCTTGAAATACGATGGTAACCATCTTCTTGTAAGTGGGACCTACGTTCTTTAAGCCGAAGGGCATCATCACATAGCAATAGATTTCATCTTCAGCATAGAACGAGGTTTATTCTTCGTCTTCAGGAGCCATTGGGACTTGGTGGTAGCCAGAGTATGCATCCAAGAGACTTAATCTCTCGTTTCCAGAAGCTGCCTTAACTAGCTTGTCGATATTTGGCATTGGGTAATAGTCTTTTGGACATGCCTGGTTGAGGTTAGTGTAATCGATGAACATCCGCCATTTACCATTTGCTTTTTTCACCAACACAGGATCGGCGACCCATTCATAATAATCGACCTGTCTGACGAAACCAGCTTGTAAGAGTTTTTCAACTTCTTCTTTGATGACCTTTAACCTCTCCCCCCCAAAGAGGCGCCATTTCTGGGCCACTGGTTTTTTGAGTGGATTGGTGCTGAGTTTGTGTTGAGACACTAAGGTGGGAATTCCCGTCATGTCTACTGAGGTCCATGTGAAAACATCTTTGTTAGCTCGGAGAAAGGTTATCAGCTCTGCTCTCTCCTCAGGATTCAGCCGAGTTCTTATCTATGTTTTCTTTTTTGGATCTTTTTCATCAATCTGTACCTTCTCTACATCTTCACCTGGAGTAGCTCGGGCTTCATCCTTAGGTCGATTATCAAGGATTTCAACCCCCATCACTTACCGATTGTCATGGATTTCCTGTGGAGGGTTTTCTATTGATTGATCTTTGTTTTTCTGTGGCTTTGTGACCGAAGTGAGATAATAATGTCTGGCCACTTCTTGGTTACCTCTGAGTGTTGCAATTCCCATGAGGGTTGGAAATTTCATGCATAGATGAGATTGAGAGACCACAGCTCGGATCTCTGTTAATGTGGGTCGGCCAATGACAACGTTGAAAAAAGAAGGCATGTTGACCACCACGAACCGAACTAAAGGAGTCACATAGGTGTGGCCACTTCCAAATGCAACATTCATGGTTAGGACCCCTTCGACTGGAACTGGTTGCTTGTTGAAGCCATATATGGGACCATCGTAATGTTGTAGCAAAGCTGGGTCGAGCCCTAGGCTCTCAAAACAATGATAGTACATGATGTCAGGTGCATTGCCTGTGTCAACAAATACACGCTGGACTTGATAGTTGTTAATCATTATTGAGGTGACCATAGGGTCGTTGTGAGGTCTTACCACTCCTTCAAAATCAATGGGTGTAAAAGTGATTGGTTGATCTTTCCAGTCAGTGTCATCAATTTTCCTTTTCTGAGCTCGGTTCTGATGCTTTACCTCTCTAACATACAACCTTCTCTGTTTGGAGCTCAACCCTTCTGCTTCCAATCCTCCTGTCATCATGTGTATAATCCTGGTTGGTGGTGGAAGTGGAGGTGAGGCTTGTTGATGCCCTACTCCTTGCCTGTTTGGTGGATTACGGATTCCTTGGGGCTGTGGCCATTGTTCTCTGACAAATCTTGGCTGTTCAGCTCTCTGGATGTACTCATTCAACATTCCTTTCTGGGCTAAACTTTCCAACTTGGACCTCAGACTCTTGCTTGCTTTGTTGTATGACTGTGATCTTGATGAAAATCACAATATCTAGTATGATCTCGGCTAGCAGCAGTAGTTCTCATTGGACACGGACATCTTAAGTCTATCTTATTCTTAATTTTCATGAAGATTTGTGACCTCGACAAGTTAAAAGGGGTCCAAGTAACTGGAGGTTTACCTGTAGATTGTTGCGGTGGTACTGAGTTTGGCCTTCCGAATCTCGGTGTACAGGTTGACATCAGACCTCGGTTCTATGTTGTCTTCATCCGTTTCTTACTCTGACTCTCATCTCTCCAATCTGGGTTTTGGTTCTTAGAGGGGGTTAGCTTCTGCGACAAGGCATATTCCTTAACAGTGATGAATTTGAGGGATCTATCATTCACCTTACTAAAGGTGGTGGCAAGATGCTTGAGCAGACTATCTCTGAATCTCTCATGGTTAAGACTTGAGATCACAGCTGCAATTCCCCAGCCTGGTCGAAGGAGCTAACCTCCAATACTGCATCATTGAATCTGCTTATATAATTCTTCAGAGATTCTCCGTCCCTCTGTTTGACTCACATCAGCTCAGAAGTAGTTTTCCTTATCAACCTTCTACTGGAAAACTTTGTGTCAAAGGCAGATGCCATTTCTGTATAAGAGCTGATTGACCTCGGAGGTAGACTGTAATACCAAGTTCAAGCATTACCTCGGAGAGTAAAGGGAAAGATTTTGCACATCAACGTGTCAGGGGCGTTTTGAGCTTGTATACAAGAGTAGAAAGCATGTAGGTGATCATCGAGATCCTTCATCCCATAATAAGTCTCAAGTTGAGGTATTTTGAAGCCAGCGGGATAAGGTTCCAATGTGATGTTGGTGTTTAGAGGATGGGGTATAGAGTCAGCAGTATGGTGTGGAGGTGGGGCACCTCGCTATTCAGCCACCAGTTTTTCTAAGCTGTCCAGACGTCGAGTAACTTCATTAGGAAGGGGTTGCTGAGCTGGTGCTATGTGAGATTGGCCTTGAGATTCACTAAGAGCAGGAGCATGCTGAACTGGTTAAGGGTTTTACTGTGGAGCTAAAGGTTGTGGAGCAGGGTTGAGTAAATTGATAAAGGGATCACCAGGGTTGTTCCGAGCTAAGAGCTGAGCCAATACTAACTGAAAGACACCAAACTATTCTTGCATGGCAGCAAGCTGAGCTGTGACTAGGTCTTGGTTAGCGGTTGAAGTTGAGTTGTTAGTTGAGTTTGGTGGTTGGTTTTCATCTCCTCCTTCTGCATGATCAATAAGAGGGAACATATTTGGGATCTGAGGTGGAAGTTGAGGTGGAAGATTGTTGGGGAGTTGACCTTGCCCAAAAGGCTGAGATGGATTTCTAGCTCGGACTGATCGAGTGTTAACCATTATGAGAGAGCAACAAGAGAGCTTTCAGTTCAGATTGCCCCAGACGGTGCCAAATGTAATTGCACCAAAGCAGAAGTCCTTCTTCAGTCTGCTTCTGCACTCCGGATTGACCTGCAAAGCCCCGAGATGGAACTCGGGATAGACACTCCAATGCTTAAATCAACAATAATTGAGGCTACCTTTAGAGTGGAGATAAAAGGAGCTTAGGATTGGTTTCAATTACCTTTTTGACATGGCCCCTGGGGGGTATTTAAAGGCTTCAGTGAGGAACCCACATGGCATGCCAAGCAAGATAATCGGAGTCTGACATGTCTTTCCAGATGGTTATTTCAAGACCGAGAAATTGAGAGATATTCAGATGCAAGGATGTCCATCGTAACTCTTGTGCAGCTTATCATAAGAAATTAGGTGTGGGCATGCTTATTGTCACTATTATGCAACAGTTTTAGCGGGAAGTTTTGGATTTATCCTTCACTTCGATTATAAAGGAATTACTGTCGTACATCCAAGGTTGGGCACCTCGGACCTATCCTTACAATAGTGGAAATGGATTGTGCTCCACTGGTTATGCCCTATGGGGAAGGGAGTGTGAATGGGTGGATGAGTAGGGGGGATTGTGGCGGACTGCGTATTGCTTCTACACCAACTGGAACCAGCGGAGGTAGTAAGTAGACCTTAAGAGGGAAGGGAACCGGGTGGCGCATATGGCAGCAAGGATGGCAGAGGAATGTGTTGGATTGATGAACATGTGTGGATGTCGTGGATGGAGGAATATCCAGCTTTGTCTCCATAATATGATTGGTTCTGAGCTTCCGATTAGAAACATATAGCTATTGTAATGGTGTTTCTTTGTTTCTAAATTATGCTAAATAAAAAAATTTGGAAAATTTCCTATTTAATGTATCCATCAAACTTTCTACTTAAATTTAGTGAAAACTTAATTTTGAATCTCAAATAAGTAAAACCAGTGTTGTCAAAATCGTGATTTAAATCGTAAAATCGTGTGATTTTACGATTTCAGGTAAGCATTTTTGGTAAAATCGTAGTCAAAATCGAAATTTTGTGAAATGGGGGGGTAAAATCATAAAATCACAATTTTACGGTAGAATCAGATAAAATCTCAATTTTACCCCAGTTGAAGAAGCTGGACCATTTTCTCTTGGGCTAATGGGCTTTGACCCAACAACCCTTAAATAAAACCCATTTCTTATTTTAAAAGCCCACAACCACAACCCTCAACCGAACCCAACAACAATTGCACTCTCCAGTCCAGCCAACACATGCTTTTTTATTGGGCCACCTAAGCTTACTTAGCCATGAATTGATGACCTCTCTGGAAACCAACATAACGTTGCCCAATGAAAATGGGAGTGTTGGCTGGAGAGTGGTGTTCCAAGCATTGCTCTTGTTTTTTTT